ATTTACACTCATTATATTATGCCATTAATTTCATGATTTTGCTATCTTGGAGAGTATTTTAGAAGTGCTAACAAGTGATTTTGGTGTTGTTTTGTAGATTGATGGAAGTTGAGAAAACAAGAGCTAAAAGAGGTCAAAGGAAGGAAATAGGCAAAAGCTAGCGAAATTGGATGAAATGACCAAAATGTAAGAGATCCAAAGTTCGAGGATTAAAATGCAATTAATCAAAAGTCGTGTCGAAACTTGAAATGAAGATCCGAAAGTTCTAGAAGCCAATTGGATGAAGGAAAGTGTCAAAGGGATCAAATTTAGTCAAGATATGATCATAAATTATTTTCCAAACAAAAAGTTTTGCGTCGGAGATTTGGTCTCACATTGAGACTCATTTTTGAGATAGAAAACGATCGAATTGGAGAATGATGCCTGAAGCAAAATTGTACTCCTTTGAATTATCTTTTCAACGCATCTTGAATCACTTCAATCGGATATCGAACAAGAAAATTATGCTGAAAATACTGAAAGATGCGCAGAATGCCGTTTTGGGCGTACCGGGCGTCGCGGCGCCCATCGTGAGCGCTGGGGCGCCCATCTTGCTGAAACAAGCAGAAAGTCAGCGCCCAGGCGCTGCATTCCGAAACAAAAGGAAATTCTGATTTTATAATATTTTCTCGGCCCAATTAGTAATCTATTGTTCCCTAAATTTCAAGATACTATAAATACACAATTGAAGATCTAAATTAGAGGGGAGCCGCACACTAAAAATCTGTGGGATCAAGTCACGGGTTCTTGACATATTGGAGAGAAGACAACAAGAAGGGAGATTCAAAAGAGAAATTCAAGAAGATTAACACCAAGAATTGAAGATTAGAAGCATTCATTGGAAGAGGAAGGAAATCTTGGTGCAAGAATTTTACTTTTTCTTCTACATCTTTATTACAAACTCTGTGATGTATTCTAAGACAAATTCCTACTTTTCTGCTTGTATTATGAGTAGCTAAATTCATTGTTAGGGAGAATAATGTAATCAATTGGGATCTTTTACATTTTCTTATTAAGACTTTCAGTTTTTAATTCTTCCATGTGTTGATTTTGTTATAAGCTGAATGCATTAAATTATCTGATCAATAATTTGATGATTTTTGTAAACTCTTTACAAATAGAGATATGAGTTTAGGATTTAAACCGTGTAGTAAAATCCAATATATTGGTATAATGAGTAGAGATACCTATACCATTTATTGCGATCATAATTGAATTCCCAAAACATATAACTCGTTTAACTAAGTTGAATTTGCATAAAAATATGAAATTTAATTAGTTGAATAAGTTCAATGAGAACTCGAGAGGGGTAAATTGAATACAATAAGAGAATTCGACCGAGCGCTACATTATAATTAAGTTTTAATTTGAGATGTAAACATGATCAATTGGTAAAGTTATTCTACCCTAACATCCATTCATTATTTGATTCTCCAACCAATCATGTGAACATTCATTTATTTTCTAAAATTTAGATTAAAACCTAGATTTTACAATCTTTAATTTGTTTTAATCAAATAGTAGTTAAAGAAAAATTGAATTAAGTGCTAGAAAATAGTCCTTGTGGGATCGACAATCCGAACTCTTAAGTCCACTATTACTTGTTACGGGTCGTACACTTGCGAAACAAAATTTTACAACAATGAAGCAAAAGGAATTCACTTCATTGCCATGGTATAAAGCTAGATTGGTTGTGAAAGGGTTTCGTCAGAGAAAAGGTGTTGATTTTGATGAGATCTTCTCTCCAGTTGTTAAGATGTCATCTATTTGTATTGTTTTTGGTTTAATAGCCAGTCTTGACTTGAAAGCTGAGTAGATGGATGTAAAAAAACTGTCTTTCTTCATGGTGATTTGATGGAGGAGATTTATATGGAGCAGCTGGAGGATAAAGTGTGCAAGCTTAAGAAAAGTCTTTATTGTATGAAATAAGCACCAAGATAGTGGTACAAGAAGTTTGAGTTTGTTAAGAGGGAGCAAAGCTACAAGAAGACAACTTTTGATCAATGTGTGTTTGCTCAAAAATTCTCTAATGATGATTTTATGATTTTATACTCTACGTTGGCAATACATTGATTGTTGATAGGAATGGTTCAAGAATTGATAGGTTGAAGAAGCGGTTGAGTAAATTTTTTGCTACGAAGGACTTGTGACAAGCAAAGAAAATCCTTGGCATAAGAATTATTCGTGGCAAAAGTGCTAACAAGTTGTATTTGTCATAGGAGTACATTAAGAAAGTGCTTGAAAGGTTCAGTAGGGACAAGGTTAAAGTGATTAGCTCTCCTCTTGCTATCCACTTCAAATTTAGCATTAAGTAGTGTCCTACAAATAAGGAAAAAGAAGGCACAAAAGGAGTTCCTTAAGCCTCAGCAATAGAAAGTTTAATGTATGCGATGGTCTGCACAAGACCTGATATAACCCATACAATTAGTGTAGTTAGCCGTTTTATGTCAAATCTAGGAAAAGAGCATTGAAATGCAGTTGAGTGGATCATAAGGTATACTCGAGACACTTCCAGTTTGAGACTTGGTTTTGGAAATGAATAACCATTGTTAATTGGCTACATAGATGCAGATATGACAGGAGATGTGGATACTCGTAAGCCTACGTCGGATTATTTGACTATTTGGATTAAAACAGACCATGAATTTTACTAGTAGATGTGGAGGCATTTGTTGGATATATCCTTTCTAAATCACCACGACTTAGGGAGTTCAAAAGGGGCGATGAAGACGAATTCGAGTATAAAGACCACTACAAAAGCTCTATAAGAGACGAATTCAAGTATAAAGACAAAACTGGAATTTATATTCTCCGTCTTCATTATTAAAACGCTAGTGCAAGCCATGATTATTACTCTCCATCATTCCATTGTATGCCCTTTTTGATCGGCTTGATGACAAGATTAATCCTTAATTATCAGTTGGTCCATCTCCATCATATCCATATTATAAAGCCAAAATGCATGTACAGTTGCCCCTTTTGATCATTCAATAATATATTCCACTTCCAATTATGTATCCTAAAAAATTTAAATCTTTCCGTTAGACACCTTAATTATCTATCCAATAAGATATCTCATCATTTTCTAGATTATCTTCTTTTCCCCATTTTCTTGGCAGATGATGATCGTGTGTTAAGTTATAGAGCTTAATTATTATTCTTACGAGAAATATATAAATATAGATGGTTTAGGAATTCCACACTTATAATTTCGATTTTATCCTAATTTTTTTATAGGAAGTCGTCATTAGCGTTTATTTTATCATCATCAAAAAGTGAGAGAGATTAAAAAATAGGGTGTTTCATTTTTCTTTTATAAATTTCTGTTCATCATACTGAAATTAGTGCCACTACGAGACGTAGTCTCACATTTAGAGAGAATCTCTATAAATCTTGAATCTTCTTTTGTGTCATATTTACTTACAATGATTTTATTGCTATGGTGGTCTAGAAATATAGTTTCTAATTCTCAAAATTATGTAGCTTCATTGGTCAAACTTTATTTACCCACCTTCTTAGAATCGACACTATTTAATATGACTTAAAAAGAAAAAAAAATTTGAAATATTATTTGTCGTATATGTGGTGTGAAGTGGGAGGAGTTGAGCCTTCTAATCTTGGTTGTTAAAACATTACAATGGACAAAGCAATGAATCATTTGAAGCAATTTTACAGCTGGTTTGAACCAAAGCAACATCTTTACCGACAAAATTGTTTTTCTATTACCAAACCTAATTTACTTTTATATTTATAAAGTTCTTTTGGGCAATTATGGAGATAACTTTTGGCATATTATATCATTACAACCTTAACACCTCACCAAATACATTATATTAGATTATATAAACATGGGTGATAATTCGCATATAACTTTTCTTGGAAAGATAAGATTCCAAGTGATGGCACTTTTTGTATTGTTTTGCAGTTTACTTGAACAATTTGCTTTGCAATTAGATATCAAATTTCAATTACCTATGGTGTTGAAGTTTAAATTCGATGGGATTAAATTATCAATAGATCCCGACTCCTCTTTTGTTCATGTGTATATTATCCGCACACTTGAATACCAGCGTTAGATTGCACGTGACAGGACTGAGGTGCAATATGAAGTTTTTCACCCATTTCATATCATTTAGAGTCCACTCGCTATGCACTAGCATTCATGTTTCCAAAATATAAACCAAGAGGGAAATATGTCACCTCGTCTAGGATTTATAAATAGATTTGAAGGAGATCAAGATCATCGGTACAGATTAGATAACGTGTTGTATAGACTTTAGAGTAGAAACAAGCATTGATACCTATATGCACTCAAGTGTTGAAGTAAAAATACAAATTGTCTTGATCAATTTCGAGTCTTTAGCATTGGGTTATTGACTTTTTATGCATTTCACTTATTTTGTATTTCCCCGATATGCTCGAAATAAATGTATGTGTTATTGACTTTTGATTCGCCCGGGATGTCCGATATACTTGTGTATGGAACATTTTTTATCAATGATATTTACATTTACCGATTAAAAAAAATGCAAATTGTCGAATCAAATCATAGACAGCGAAAGGTACATAACATTTAAGCTAGAAGAAGTCAAAGGTGCTCCACAAGAAAAATTAAAACCAACTTCCGTACTATGGCTGGAAAAAAGCTGCTCGTGACACAAAAGTAATGAAATTGAAGTTTGGTCAATCACAATATATAGAAATTCGTAATGATAAAAAACATTCAAATTGTCCATAAGGGAAATGTTGAACTACTCAGAGTATTAATTTTTTCTAAAAAGCAAGGAGTATATAACTTTTTGTGCAAAAGCTAAAGCCTTTAATGTTTATCCTCCCTGCTGACATATATTGCTGGAATAAATGCTTTGATGTAGCAGCAGCGGCATTAATTTCAATCAAGTTTTTTAAAGTTCAAAAGTTTTCTGAATTAGGACATCTGCTTTTGTAAATTCAACAGTTGCTTCTGAAATTACGTAGATAAGTTATTCTGTCTCGTTAAATAAAGGAAATTACGTAGATAAGTTGTTAATATACATAAATCTTACTACTATAATCTAAATGCGGGCTAGGCATGCAATGCTGAACATGACAGTAGAAATGTTAGATTCGTACTGTCTAGAATAATCTAATCAACCTTCCAAATTTTCCTATCCCTCAAGCCCTTGACAAGACGAGTGAGAACACGATGAATTCTCAAGATCTAAAAAATAAAAAATTTATCACGAGCATTCGACCAAGAAGTTCTCGAGTTTTTCGTCGTGTCCAGCCAAGTGAAACAGTTCATTTGATAATTCATCCACCAATAGCCCAAAGATCACAAGCTCAACTTCTGCTGCTGTTCCGTCCACCTGCTCATGAAAGTTTTTCCACCCATCCATCTCCTTTTTGAGATCCAATTCAATCATCATATCAATGGTGTCAAATTCGACTTCTCTCCATGAATCCAATCTGTTGCAAACCCTTCCCAACACGACTTCTTTATTGCACCAGAAATTCATTTCACGTTTTTCTTCGGTAATTAAATCTGAAACTAGCCTCGTCATGTCAGTGGAAATCTTCCTCGTGTTTTGAAGGCTTGATTTGTTGAAAACTTCGGTTACAAATTTGTCAACACTCCGCTCTTTGTACAAAGTCAAGGGCTCTTCATATTCCAACTCCTCTCTTTCTTCAAGGTAGTCATCATCATCATCATCTGATTCTTCTAGCAATTTTCTCTCAAGTTCCATTGGATCCAATTCTGCTAGTTTTTCGAATCTACGGAGCCTGTACAAAAGCTGATGTTTTGTCCCTGCAAGTTCAGTACAATAAAAAACAAAGCAAAATTAAATTTTTGTCTCCTGGAACTTAATAACCGTCGTTCAACTTAATCATGATGAAAACTACTAAAAGAAATATCATAAATTAACCATTTTGACATGTAAATAAATTACAACATAGCACTTGAGAATATTAATAACAAGAAAGAAACTACAGTACATTCGTTTATCATACTATCTAATACTGCATAC